GGAAGAGACAAAGAAACAGCAAACCCGCGTCCATCGACCTCAACTCTCTCTCCTCCTCTTCTCTCTCTTCTCCGATGCAGACAGTCCGTCGTCACACACCAACCCACGAAGTCGTCACCCCGCTTAGTCCTCCCGCAGCCGTCAGATTCGCCCGTGCCCTAAGTCAGTCGTGGCCCACGTCAATCCCGCTTGTTCGGCACCAGCCCGTCGGGTCGCCCAACTCCTACTCTACTCACCTCTTTCCTCGCTCGTGTGTCGACCCTTCCTGATCGCGCAACCCCGAGCTTCCAACAATGGGTTAAGAGAGCTAACTGATTGCACAGCCGGATTTTATAGCGTGCATGCATGCACGAAGAACACGGAATTATCAAGACTTAGAACGGGGATTAGAGAGGGAGTGCCTGCGTTCTGCATGATCAGGCCGCGRCGTGGGGGACGTAGCCCTTCTCCACGCATCGATCCGAGCATGCAAGCCGMGACTTACAAAAATCACAGCAAAAGAAAGAGAGGGAGGGCGTGAGATACAAAGTACAAGAAGAAAGATACAGTTACGATGGCGCCCGCCCAAAATTACAGTTACACACGCGATTAAGGGCACCCACTAATCCGAATACCGTTGCAGCCGCATGAAGAAGCGCGTAGACAAAAGGCGCAGCGGCAGAAAAATCCTACTTACTGAAATCCTAAATTCCTATCTAATGCGAAAAAGCAAAAAACACGAACTTCAGGGGGAAAGTCCGAATTTCTGAGAGCGATCGGGGCTCGAGAAAATTAAAAAAAAAAGACTCAAAAGAAAATTTAAAAAAGAACGAAGCAAATTCCCGCGCGATGTCCGCGCCCAAAAGACCGAAACCGAAACGGAAGAAACGACGCCAACATTTATTAATCGCGCGAGCAGTGTCGCGCCAGCCATCAGCCGACCAATCAATCAACCGGCCGTCCCCAGACACACCCAGCTCCGAATCCAGCCATATGAAAAGAAGCGATGAAAAGGACGAAAAAGCAAGGGCACTGATGCAATTTTCCACCGATCGTGATCTCCCGTAATTGGCCCAACCTTCCCAGCTTAGGACCCCTCGTTGCAACCGCGCTGAAAATCGCGCGTTACAGAAAGTGGTTCGTCACATATGTGACGCCCAAGGGGTTCCAATATTCGCAAGCTCCTGGTTAGTTCGAAAATGGCCGCTGATTCGTTCGATCGTACGGGAACCTCAATCGGTGTCGGGGGTAACGCTCTGACGGGTGGGGGTATCACAAGAGCGGAGGTGCTCGGAGTCTCACTTAGGACCACTCGTTTGGGGCCTATCTGTTCCATATAGGTAACAGGTCCTGATACAAATCCCATATTTTCAAACTTGTTCTGCAAGGCAGCCAATTCAGTCGAATCTCCTTCACGGAAGTTTGCTGCGAACTTCCGTTCCATTTCCTCCGCAGCAGCCATGATTTGTTGTAACGTGTGAGTGATGGGGGAAAATTGCTTTCACAACTTAGCCCTTATTGTCCGGCTGCGAAGCCCGTCAATGAACAAATCTCTCCCTACTTGCTCACCGCGCTCTGTTTTCACGAACATTCTATAGAACCGGTTCCGATATTCTGCAACGGATTCGAGAGGATTTTGTATCGGTTCTTGATCATGTACAGTGCTTGCTCGGGGTGGACATAATCAAATCGGTTCATGAAATCCCGTTCTAAGGTCGGGAGATCACCCACACGTAGGTACTATACCAATGATGAGCATCTCCTCCCATTCGAGCCGGAACGTTAGTCTGTGCTTCGTGATCATCGTTCTGCTGTGCTCTCAGCGTGGCCAGCCATGCTCCTGCGAGATGGTGCGCTGGATCAAATAGATAGAGATCAGGTGGCGTCATGGGAGCTCGTGCGCGTAGGGCGGGTTGATTGGGTGGATTATCATTCTATTGCGGAATCGGATTTGGCACATTGGCAGCCATATTGGCTGCTCGTCGGTTAGCTGATCTACTTCAAGTGACGATAGGGTCGCGTCTATGCGCGTTCCGAGGGCGAGGTCGCCCACGGTTAGCCAGGTCCCCTAATTAACGTGCTATCAATCCTAAGACCCTAGCCATGTGTCGGGCTCCGATACCAACCTCACGCCCGGCGCGACTTCCTGATCGGAATGGGATGTGGGCCTGGAAGTGCAAAAAGGGGTGTGCCAAGGATTTTTGGGAAAAGTGGGGGAGTCTTAGGGGTATGAATGCAATTAGACAAGCAAGGGGCACGAGGGACTCAAGGCCCGATGGGGCCGGGGTACTGTGGGCGGCGGTTTGCGGGGAAGTCCCTTCGCGGAGGAGGCGGTCCCGAAAAGTTGGGCCGTCGGGGGCCGCCACGTGGCGCAGGCCGCTGCGTATTTGGGTTGGGCCTTCGGAATTCCGGGGTTNGCTACAGTCTCCGGGAGCTCTTGATAACGAACAATGTGATGAAAACGGGGGAATCGGTTGCCCGTGCGGGGGAGGGACGAGAGATAATCGGGATAGAGGGTGGTGAGAGTTCGGAAGAGTGCCACGCGGAAGCGATCGTGGTATTCGCACGCGGGGATGGTCCCCGTTATCACGCAGTAGACCTCGATCATGTTGTGGCCTTGCCACGCGGCACTAAGGAGCAAGACATGGAGGCAGAAAGCCGGGACGGCGCATCGAATGGAGGGGTGGGGATGCACTACAACAGCGAGGCGAGCGGCGTAGAAGTGACGGAAGGTGTTGCGGGGGAACGGGTTGGAGGGGAACGTGACGGGGGTAATGAGCTGGCGGATGGTGAGGTAGTCAAGGGGACGGCAAGAGAGGSCTCGGGGACGAAGGCCGATCGCCCGTATCGGTACGTCGGCAAACTGAGGGACGGTTTGGGGAGGAGTGGGATCAGCTCCGTCGCCACGCTGATAGGGTTGGAGTCATGGCCGTGAGGTCGCCATCTTCAGGTCGGGACGGCTCCGGATCTCGGTTCGGGTCATCGTGGATCTGCAGACTCGCCGCGCTTGCGAGCTCAAAATCCTTTCCGGCCGCGATCTCTTCTCTTTTGCGGGTCGCCCCGGGATCTTCGACTTCTGTGTCCGTACACAGTGCTTCTTCTGGCACGGCTTCCCACTCCGATCCAGCAAGCTCGTCTTCGTGCTCCTCTTCTTCTTCTTCGTCTTCTTCTTCTTCACTCTGTTCCCCCTCGCTATGCTCGCTCTAGCTCCCTTCTTCGGGGGTTTCGTCCTCTTCATCGAGGATTTCGTCGCTATCCCCTCTTTCTTCCTGCGCGTCTTCTCCCTCGTCAATCCCGGTGCTCTCTTCCTCCGTTCGTCCGGTAACGTGCGTGACGCGTATTCCATGACGTGTTCACGACCATCGTTCCCCTTGTGCGATAAATTGCGGAGATAGCTTCCGGTTGCCAGTCCGTGATGAGAATGAACTGTTTCGAGGGGTCCGGCCTAATCAAAATAGGGGCCGTCGCCAGAGCGTCCTTGAGGGTTGTGAAAGCCTGTTGGCACTCCGCGTCCCAGCTGAGAGGCTGGTCCTTCCTTAGCTGGTTCGTTAGTGGTCGTGCAACCGCGCCGAAACCCTTAATGAAACGACGATAGTACGATGCCGACCCTAAGAAGGCTCGAACCTGCGTCAGCGACGTGGGAACTGGGGCTTCTCTTACCGCCGCCACCTTTCTTGAGTCCGGCCGCAGACCTCCACGTGTCACGACGTAGCCCAAGAATGAAATTTCCGAGAGGAAAAATTCGCTCTTCTCGAGCGCAATCCTGAACCCAACGTCTCTCAGCGCTCCCAATGTCCACTCGATGTGTTGCGCGTGCCCCGTGATAGGTCTCTTAGTAGACGAGGATATCGTCCATGTATACGATCACGCAGAAGTTGATAATTCCCTGTGTCAGCCGCGTCTTGTTGACGAAGTTCTAGAATGTCATGTTTCATCGCTCGCTGAAACTTTGCAGGCGCGTTGCAAATCCCCATCGGACACCGAACCCACTGCCACGTGCCTTCAAACAACACGAAGGCCGTCTTCGGCGGATCTTCCTCCTTCACCAGAA